GTCAAGTAGTTAACGTTTTGAATTTGTGAATACGAAATCCATTTTTTTCCATTTTCGGTGGATTTTAGATAACATTGAAATGCTTTCTCTTCATTTTTAGGTGTTCCAATTCCATGTTCATAACAGTTTCCAAGGTTGTATAAACCAAAACTTTCTCTTCCTGATGCAGATCTCAAGTACCATTCAAATGCTTTCTCTTCGTCTTTTATTGTCCCGATTCCGCGTTCATAACAATAGCCAAGATTACTTTGACCCAATGGATTTCCACCCTCAGCAGATTTCAGATACCAATGAAATGCCTTTTCATTGTCTTTTATTGTTCCAATTCCATTATAATAAAGATATCCAAGATTACATTGTCCTTCTGGATTTCCATCTTCAGCAGATTTCAGATACCAATGAAATGCTTTCTCTTCGTCTTTCGTAGTTCCAATTCCGTCCCCATAACAATTTCCAAGATTGTATTGTCCATAATTATTTCCACCTTCAGCAGATTTCAGATACCAATTAAATGCTTTTTCTTCGTCTTTCGTAGTTCCTATTCCGTTCTCATAACAATGTCCAAGACCATATTGCCCCATTGGATTTCCACCTTCAGCAGATTTCAGATACCAATGAAATGCTTTCTCTTCGTCCTTCGTGGTTCCAATTCCGTTCTTATAACAATATCCAAGATTACATTGCCCTTCTGGATTTCCACCTTCACCAGATTTCAGATACCAATTAAATGCTTTCTTTTCGTCTTTTGTAGTTCCAATTCCATTCTCATAACAATATCCAAGATAAAATTGCCCCGTTTGATTTCTACCTTCAGCAGATTTCAGATACAAATGAAATGCTTTCTCTTCGTTTTTTGTAGTTCCAATTCCATTCTCATAACAACGTCCAAGATTACATTGCCCTTCTGGATTTCCACCTTCAGCAGATTTCAGATACCAATGAAATGCTTTCTCTTCATCTTTCGTAGTTCCAATTCCATTCTCATAACAACTTCCAAGATTACATTGCCCTACTGGATTTCCACCTTCAGAAGATTTCAGATACCAATGAAATGCTTTCTCTTCGTCTTTCGTAGTTCCAATTCCATTCTCATAACAATATCCAAGATTATATTGTCCTTGATTATCTCCACCTTCAGCAGATTTCATATACCAATGAAATGCTTTCTCTTTATCCTTCATAATTCCGAATCCTTCAAAATAACAATGTCCGATAAGGCATTGACTTTCGAAATTCCCGCTTTCAGCAGACTCTAGAAACGATTGAAATACCTTTTCTAAATCTTTCTGAGTTACAGTGGCTTTTTGATCTGATTGTTCGATATTATATCTTTTTATAATTTCCATAATATAATTAAATAACGATTGCTTCAATGGTTTTTTAGAAGGATTTGTCTTATTTACAATAAATAAAAATTTACTGTAATAATGTTAATGTATAAAAAATATAAAAATAGGAATACTGCAGACTGATTTAGTTTAGATCGGTTCGAAACCGGCTACAAACCAGGTTTATTTCCGTAGTCTAACTACATTACCGTATTTGTAGTGATGCAAATTTAGCCGGGCCGTTTTTAGTAGAGTCATTTGCTCATGACAGGTAACGTAATTATCTTTTAATCAAGAAATAATCTTCAATGCAAGATATATACATTTCCCCTCATCCACCAAAACGGAACTTACAGCAATATCAACAGCCCTAAACTAGTCCCAAGAACAGCAAACGCTAATATCCCCACAGACAGTAAATATGCTATAAGAATTATCAACAATAAGAACAAACAAACAACAAAAAAACCAAATTACATTATCATCTCAGAAATCAAAGCAATCACGAATCAAAGAACCGGCAATACAACATTTACCAAAGTCAAAGCTCATAGCTACAACGTATGAATAACAAAGCAAATCATGAGGCAAACCCGGAAAGAAACAGCCAACACATCAAAATCATGCCAACTGTCCTCAGCGGACAATTCAGCAACAATAACAGAAAAAAATATACTCTCGATACAAACATCTCTAGATTTATTAAAAATCTAATTAATGCCAGATGGATAGCCAGATGGGCACACAAAAAAGGCAAACAAGAAAAAAGCCATATAGAATGGCAAGCAACATGGAAAACCCAATACTTAACATGTATTATCAGCAATACTAAGAATTATTTAGATATAAACTGCTAATAATGAGTTATAAATTAATTTAAAAAAATAATATTTAATTGTTTAAACTAATTTATTGATATTTGAAACAATAACATTAAATAAATTAAACTTTGAAAATAAAAACTATTTTTATTGGCAGTTTTCAAGTTTATCATGTGAGAAATTGAAAGTTTCAATATAGAAAATTGTCAATTTTTTTTTAATTTTTTTTATTAGGTTTTTGTTATGCTTTTATTTTATAAAAATATGTTGTTTACTATAAATAATTCTTATTTTGTTAATCAAGGCATTAAAATATATTCTATATAATAATAAATCAAAAATATTAATAACTTAGTTCAGATAATATATATTAATATAAGCATATTTAAAAAATTTTTAAATACCGTATATACTTTTATAAAAAAATCAATGTTTATATAATTACCCTGTAAAAAAAAACAAAATAATTTTTTAATAAAATTTTTCACCAAGTTTTTAAAAATAAAAAAAGACGCAAATATTTTTTAAAATAAATTTATAATATTTAAGTATTTACAGTTTATATTAAAATGTTTTATTAAAGTAATTAATAAGTTAATAAATAGTTTGCAAATTATTATTAATTTAAATATATTATAATATTTTGAAAATGGTTAAATTGATATTTAAAAATTATTTTTTTTATTTCGATCAAATATTTGATTTTTATATATAAATTGATTTTGGTTATTTTATTTAATATAATTCCGGTTTAAAGCAGTCATTTTAACATATTTCATGTGGTTTTTTTTTAAAAAAACAATCAAACTCAAAAGTAAAGTTTTCATTATTTAAACTTAATATTTTTACAGTTAAATTTTTTAAAAAAATTTTTAAATCATTTTTTTTTAATAACCGTAAATTTAATTGTAAATAAAAAAATTTTCTAGGTCATTTTTTTTATTTAAATCGAAAATCACCTCGGAATGCGATGAATCTGATTTTGAATTTTAAATAATAAATACATGATCCTCGAGTTTTTGTTTGAAAATATACAGTTTTGCATCTACTGTAGGTACACGCAGCTTTTTAATTATTACGATATTAGTGGTTTTAAAGCTTATATTACCTAAATATCTAAATCTTTTGGTGCGATCAGTGAGCTGGATATTTTTATACCTTATCTAGTTAAACCTTTATGACTCTGTGCGGTTATATTTATACATTCGAATAAACGCCAATAATTAGACAGAAGGTAAGATGTTAATGGAAAAAAATATATTGATTCAAAGGTAACAACGCTATAACTACTCCCACCCAAATTATCAAATCCAATTTTCATTTTTTTACCTTTCAATATAGGTATTCCATATTATATTTCAAAAATTTAAACTTTTGTACCATATCGAAATCTTTTAACTCATTTAATAAAACCTTTAGGTTTTGGCAATGCTCAGAGTATGTTCTATCAAATGAATAGCTTATCACGGGAATGGCAAGATACTTTTGCGCTATTTTCGCCATAAAAGGCAATTCTTTTCTATGTTGACGCCACCAATCAACTGGATCATCATATCTATTTTGATTACGCTGCGATAATATTTCATATCTTTCAAATTCATCAGAATTTTCAGGTTGATTTTGAGTTGTTTCTTCTTCGCATAATTCTAAATATTCCGATTCAATCGTGTCACGGGCTTCTTCAATAATAGCGTAATTCTATAATGAAACTTTTTTAGTGATGAGATATAGAATATATTTTCAAAAAATATTTTGCTTACGTCATCAAAAATGTCCTTGAATCGAGGATTTAAAGACGCAATTTTACAATATGTGAAATCACGTCTACAATCAAATTCTCCAAAAATATCCAAGATTAAAAACTTTATAAGAATATCATTCAAAAATAATTGACCGCCATCAATATTCTCCACTATTTTTTCATTATGTATTTTTAATTGAATTTCTAAATTAAAGGATTCGACCAGTAAATCGTAAAATGAATACTGAGTTTCACCGAGTTTTTTAACAGCATCTTTTAGTTGTCTTAAATGTGAACTCAAATCATCAAAGAATTTAATTATGGTAGCATCTGGTAATAGGTTGTTCATCCACATCCCTTTCGACGCAGTTTCTAAATTATCAGATAGCGTCATAATCAACTTTCGAATCGGTTCTTCTAATACCACCAGGTATTCTAACATAAATATTGGTTCATCGATGCATCTTATCAAATCTTCAACTCCGTTATTCTCGTTATCTTCAAGTGTTTCTTTAAGAAAGTCATTTTCATAGTTAATCAAATATTTAATCAGCTGCTGAGAATTTTTTAGGCCAGTACTAATCTTTCTGGAAAGTTCTCTAATATTTTCTTCGTCTTTTATCGATAAAAATTTATCTATGTCTTCAAAATATGGAAGATTTATATCAAGATCCGGTTCTAAAATGTATGTTGAAAAATCTTTAACGAAAGACATGCATTCAACTTCTGTAATATTATTGAATTTCCCGACAGCCCTATATACTCGATCCCATATATGCCTTCTGGTTATTGAATAAACTTTTCCATCCAGCTCCCATGCGCTTAAAACTCTTTTGATGCTTTTATGAATATCGTTATAATCAAAAAATTTTGGAATTGAAACAAGGTCCAAAAGAATTTTATGTAGTTGGAAATCGTCGGAAATCCAATGACATGTTATTTCCAAATAAGAATACTGACCATCAAGTTCCCAACATACAATTGCTAAAGCTACAGAGTTGACCTGTTGAAGCATGCTCTTTAGTTTAGAGAATAGTTTATTATACGAATTGGTCATTCGTGATTTCCCATTCTCTGAAGTAATGCAATTAGGATTCGCGTACTTGATGAATTGCAAGAAATTTTCTCTAGTTGAAAAAAGACTTTTTTTAGAAGAACCAAGCTTCTTTGGCTGACACTGAGATAGAAGTCGCTGTGATATATTCGTGCCAATGATAATGTTGTGGCAATGTCTTAAATGATATCTTAGTGCTGAAAGTGAACCTCTGTAAAAAATTTCCTTGCCGCATCCGGGAAGCATACACCTTGCTTTGTGAATTTTACTACTGGATGAATTATCTAATATTGTGAAATAGTTCAAAACATGATTTTTCCTATGATTTCTCGGGTTTGAGTTATGCCGGGGGCTACATTTGGGAACTACTTTTGAGTTTTGTGAACAAAGCGCATCTAAGTGATCCTGTGATTCCATATTATTCCAAAGGGTGTTGATATCGGAATACTGCATTATTGATTCGTATATATAACGATTCTACGTTGCACACACATATTTGTCTTACAGTACTGTATTACGGCACTATACTGTATAAGATACTGTACTGCCTAGTTCAACATTCAGTGAATTATCAGAATATTACGATAAAAAGTAATAAAAATTTAAAAATTTCGTTTAATAAAAAAAATATATACAGTATTGCATACCAAGATTATGTATCCGCGAAGATAGCTCCGGGCGTGTTGATTATTCAATCAAAGGGTATGAAGATCTTATATGTATAGCAGAGGGAAGCCACGTAATGTTGAAATCGGTTATCTCCAAAATACAAAAAAACTGGAAAGTGCGAGTCATATGAATAAAAGGAAACGAACCGCAGATCAAGCATTTCAAAATGACGATGATTATCTCTACGGGATAGTTCTACAGTATAGTACCTTGTGTTTACTCAGCTAAAAAAATTGTTATATATTTCTGTCATTAGCTTATCTTTGATTATCTCTTTTCCAGCTACGGAATGTCATTTTATTAAGTCTGCTACGGAGGGCTTTATTGTACCAGCAAAAGTGAATATCGGATTAATCTATCCAAAACAGCATTGAAGGAGGGTCTTGAATCAATTAGAAAGGGTGTTAAAACGGTAATTGGGTTGATCGTGGAATTATTAAGAGATAGGATTACAATGCGTGATGAGCATGAAATTAAGAAACGACGCATACAAAAAACTAACAAATGATAGGTATTTTTTTAATTGTATTTTTTATCATGTATCCGGCATCTATGTGCCTATATATTTTGTTGCAACAATAAAGCGAATATACGTATATTTTTCTGAATTTTTTTTTTTTTTTCCTAACATATTATTACTATTGATGACGAGAATTTTTCTTGGCGAAAGTGATCAGCGTTACAAATTGCAACTTGTGATTTGATTTTATGAAAGGACACAACACAAAGAACATAACATACCCAATAATTTTATTAGACAGTAAGTGAGTATGAGATAAGAAATGTATAAATAAACTAGATCATTTTAAAATACGTTTGGTAATCATATTTTTCAATAAAATTTTTTATTTATCTCCAACATCATAAAACTTTTCGGCCTCTTTTGAAATTATCATTACTGTTTTGATTCCGGAATTTCTTTCTTGATTTTGATATTGATGATATTACTTTTATATAGGGAAACTGTGGAGATTAGTTTCATTAAATTATATGACATTTATTGAAGTTGAGAGACTAGTTGTTGAATTGACTTCTTGTCTCAAAAAGATAATTCTTGACTTTGATGATACCTCTTTACAGAATGGTCGTGGATGGTTCGTCAAATTTCACGATGTCTACGAGATGATATATTGATACTTCACACTTGGATTAGTAAAATGAACGAATGATCGATCAATGTCGCAAAGTGTCTCTCATAATCCTTCGTTACAATTCCCTGCACATCAACTAACAAGATGATCTGGTATCAAAAAATAAGACTTTTATCTCCTTACCTTGTGATCTCGAAAATATTAAACATTGATTTTTTTTTTTCAAAATACCGTCTCAAAATAAATTCTCACATTCTCCTCAACAAGAGCCGAGTTTGGTCATTTTATATGATAAATTACACCGTCTCCCAAAAAGAACGCAACACCTGATCGGCGATCTTTAAATGCTAAAATTTTAAGTAGGATAAATCAGA